TCGTAGACTTTTTATTTAGGTCTCTAGTTATGCTAGTTTGTATTATATTATGTAATAAATTATTTACAGTCAATATTAAAAGAATATATATATATATATATATATATATATATATATATATATATATATATATATATATATATATATATATATATACGCTCCTTCACTTCGGTGTTGTTGAGCACTCTGCGGAGTTGTTAATGGATGTCTATTAGCGATAATGCAAAGCTCACTTCCCTTGTGGTCATTTGAGCACTCTGGCTCCATTACGCTCTGCGCATGTCTGGATGCGTTGAGTCACCGTGTTGTACCACATGCCTTGGTGAGAGCAAGTTCATGGGGTATAAATACGAGTGTCTCACGTATCTAGACGTGTACCAAGCTGCACTGACGAGGCGTTGAACGCCGAAACATGCATGTCTGCAGATTGTACTATTACAGATCGGAAGAGCTTCGGTGTTGTTGAGCACTCTGCGGAGTTGTTAATGGGTGTCTATTAGCGATAATGCAAAGCTCACTTCCCTTGTGGTCGTTTGAGCACTCTGGCCCCATTATATACGCTCTGCGCATGTCTGGATGCGTTGAGTCACCGTGTTGTACTACATGCCTTGGTGAGAGCAAGTTCATGGGGTATAAATACGAGTGTCTCACGTATCTAGACGTGTACCAAGCTGCACTGACGAGGCGTTGAACGCCGAAACATGCATGTCTGCAGATTGTACTATTACGCTCCTTCACTTCGGTGTTGTTGAGCACTCTGCGGAGTTGTTAATGGGTGTCTATTAGCGATAATGCAAAGCCCACTTCCCTTGTGGTCGTTTGAGCACTCTGGCCCCATTACGCTCTGCGCATGTCTGGATACGTCGAGTCACCGTGTTGTACCACATGCCTTGGTGAGAGCAAGTTCATGGGGTATAAATACAAGTGTCTCACGTATCTAGACGTGTACCAAGCTGCACTGACGAGGCGTTGGACGCCGAAACATGCATGTCTGCAGATTGTACTATATATATATATATATATATATATATATATATATATATATATATATATATATATATATATATATATATATATATATATATATATATATATGACTGTGTTTGAGGAAACATGTCTGGTTAATATTCTTGTGGTTTTGTTGAACTTTTCTTCAGACATACAAAGTAAAAACTTTTATCCGTAAAATAAAGTTTTAAAATCCCAAACGTTTCGCCGATCAAGGCTTCTTCAGTGGGAAACTAGTTAAAAGTCATATAATGTCCCTATATATATGCAAGTCCGTCAATACTCAATAGCCAAAATTACAATATATAAAACTAATTAGAGATAAAACGACTGTCTTGATTACATGTACAGGATTAAAAAAATTAAAATTAATTATATATACAAGATTTAAGAAAATTAAAATACTAATTGTATAAAAGTGTTCTCCCAGTACAGCCATTCATAATTTTGTCAGCATTATTTCGTATCTCGACTGCTTCAATGTACCTTCGCTCCTCTTGGTTGCGGATATATGTGTGTGTAAAAGTTTCTAACTTATTTTAGCGTCCTCAGGTCTCTGATTGTGGGAAATTATGTGTCTGTATACGGTCTGCTTATACATTGATAAGTGTTCTTTAATTCTTTGGCCTATTGTTCTTCCTGTCTCGCCGATGTATATAATATCGCAATATAATATATATATATATATATATATATATATATATATATATATATATATATATATATATATATATATATATATATATATATATATATATATATATATATATATATATATATTTACAAGAGAGAAAAAGAAGAGAAATTGTTCTTATCATAGAAGTGAATATTTACAAGAGAGAAAAAGAAGAGAAATTGTTCTTATTATAGAAGTGAATACCAATGTTGTAGATGCATTTGGGTTCTTATAAGAATTAGACTACAATATACTATTAAATTTGTCATATAGCAGAATGTTTTATAGCATATCTTATACATTGTATAGTAAAAAATATTGTTTAATTTGCTTTTTGAAGGTGCTGTAGAAATTTATATCTATAAATTTTGTTTCTAATGAATTCCATACGTCAACTCCTTTATTTGAGAGAGTGTGTTCTACATACTTTGTTCTTTTATAACATTTGTGAAGTTTTGATGCATTTCTCGTGTTATATTGATGAATTTGGTTGTTTGTCACAAAATAATCTTTAAAAAATTCTGGTAAATTATTAAGATGGTGGTATCGAAACATAAATAAAGCAGTTAAATAGTCGTTAATTTTGAAGATGTTGAGAATATTTAAATCTTTGAAAATTGGTTCACTGTGATCAAAGTATGATTTGAATGCCATTAAACGCACTATTTTTTTGTATATCATTATTTTTTTAATTCTGTTTTTGTAAGTATTACCCCATGTTAGGTTGCCGTAAATCAAGTATGGATAGACTAATGCATAGTATATCAGTTT